ACTAAGTATGAAGTATGGCAATGAAGGACTGAGAAAAGGCCAGTCACGAGGACAAACAGATTTCAGACATAACAATGTTGAAAACGTCAATTTTCGACAGTACGGTGAGCTAATAATGTTGGTTACTCAAGCAAAGAGGATGAATGACAAGTCGTTCGAGCATCAACATCTCTAACAAAAGACAGGTGCAGACTTACCAGAAACCGCAACCAACAAAAAGTAGGTAGTGCGACAAGATCAAAGGCAGGGAAATTATTGGGTAAATGTGAGTCATAGCCAAGGACACGGATATTATGAGGAGTATATCTAAGTTGAACCTGAGGACAAGGACATCACCATTGAGTAAATGCGAGTCCCACTAAGGAATGGGAGTCCCACTAAGGTATGGGAGTCCCACCAGAGGATATGTTAACATTATCAGTGAGTAAAAGAGAGTCACATCTGAGGACAACATTATCATTGAGTAAATGCGTGTCCCACTAAGGAATGGGAGTCCCACTAAGGAATGGGAGTCCCACTAAGGAATGGGAGTCCAACCAGAGGATATGTTAACATTATCAGTGAGTAAAAGAGAGTCACATCTGAGGACAACATTATCATTGAGTAAATGCGAGTCCCACTAAGGAATTGGAGTCCAACCAGAGGATATGTTAACATTATTAGCGAGTAAAAGAGAGTCACATCTGAGGACAACATTATCATTGAGTAAATGCGAGTCCCACTAAGGAATGGGAGTCCCACTAAGGAATGGGAGTCCCACCAGAGGATATGTTAACATTATCAGCGAGTAAAAGAGTCACATCTGAGGACAACGTTATCAGCGAGTAAAAGAGTCACATCTGAGGACAACATTATCATTGAGTAAATGCGAGTCACATAGAGGGCACAAACATTGATTAAATATGAGCCATATCTCAAGACCAACATTATTTTTGAGTAAATGTGAGTAACATAAAGGACACAAACACTATTAATGAGTTAACACGAGTCTCACCGAGTACATAAACATTATTATGGAGTAAATGTGAGTCACACCTGAGGACACAGACATTATCTGCACTAGTGTCTGCAGTTCAAACATACCAAGTGGCAAGCTGCCATGTTGACGATAGCTATTACCGTTTAAAATCCAGGTCAGTTAATTCTTACTCAGCATTACATAGACTTTAGGAACCGGGAGGTGTTTTTACAAGTCAGACCTTTCATCCTATTGGAAAATATTGATTCTCTTTTAAAGTTGAATGTCTTAAGACATAACAATTATACAAGATGTACCTCTGTTTGTGTTTTATATATCTTTTTACAGATATGAGTGGTTTTTATTTTAATTGTTTCATCTTACATCCAGTCAGATATAGATATGAGCTATCAATGAAGTCCAGATCCAAACTAAAACAACTGGTCACTGATTACGGACACATACCAGATCAGTACAAAAATATCTGGACACTACCTATCATCATAAGATCCAAACGAAAACAACTGGTCACTTTATATATAGAGAGATATTACAGTCAATTCAAACTATGAAATTTGGGTTTTTAACGTAACCACTATAAGGTGAAATAAGATCTAAAGATAGTCTGGGGCGGCTGTTCTACCAAATGACAATCCCTATGATCACAATTGAGTATGATGGAACTGGAATACAGATTAACCTAAACGTGACCTGATTAAAAAATTGTGTCAGAATCAGTAATTAATCAACTGTTGATCCAGCATCAATTGTGTCCATGAAACAATTCCTGTGAGCTAAATCACTCATTATGGATTGATTCTCTGATTAATTAAAATAAATTTTAGCTGCTATAATAACTCTTCTCATTTTGCAAGTACTATTTTCTGGGAAACACTACCTGGCTTACATTAACTTTCATACCATTACACAAACCACACACAACATGAAGGGGAGGTATGAATATAAGCTTATTAATTTGTATCAATACCGTATTTTACCGCAAATAAACCCTCTCTCCCAAATAAGCCCCCTCCTCACTTTGGCAAAATGTCCTGGGAACAGGGTGGGTGCCTGCAATTAAGCCCCATCTATGGCTCCTCCAATAGGCCTACATTCCTCTCTTTAATAATAATAATAATTTGAGGTTCTTATATACCGCTTTATCACAACCTAGTTCGTAGGTCGTCCCAAAGCGGTTCACAAATTATTATCCGTGGTTATAGGGCCTTTGCAACCAGCCAATATCTTTCTCAACTCCCTGGGGAGCATACAGATAGTGCTGCCAGTTCGGCGCTCACAGCTAGCATTCAACAATTCTAGCACTGCCCAACCACATACTCATTTACAGCTGAGTAGACTGGAACAGCGGAGTAAAGTATCTTGCTCAAAGATATAACACAGTGCCGTGCTGTGACTCGAACCCGCAACCCTTTGGTCAAGAGCCTGGCGTCCTACCACTAGACTACTGCGCCTCCTTTCACTAGACCCACCTGTGCAAGTTGTAGCTCTACAGACCCTTCAACTCAAGTTCTATCTATATTCCTACAAACCCTCAATCTCTGACCCTAACTACAATCTACATGTATAAGTCTACAACCCTTGGCCCTATCCAAGAGTTCACCTTTAAGTCCATATAGGTACATGTACCAGTATAGTTCACTGATATTTGTACATTTGTTTTTAAACCATTCACCCCTATGTAAATTTAATAAGTTCTACAATGCATTGATATGGATAAGTCCATTATGGTCTACAGTGGTGAAAGGGTTAACTCAATCACCCCTGAAATTTTTCAACCTTTGAATCGGAAGAGTTCAAATGTGTCTTCAGGGGTGAATGAGTTAATGAGGGTGAGACTCGACTCTGATGTGTTCTTGATGGTTGTCTTTGAGATGTGTGTGGGGTATCACTAGCTTGCCCTACCAGGTACTTAGTGTAACCAGGCCAGTGTGTCTCATCCTTAGTGTAATAAACATAACTGCTTATAGATGGTCCTAAGCTACTTACTGCTACTTACAAATACATAAACTACATACCTGGCTACATCTTGACCCATCCTTGACCGCTTCCTTAATCTGTCTCAGTGAGTACCCTTAGCCCAAAGTGTCCACTCCCATTAATCAATTTTCTATCCCACAAGACAATACTTAACCTTTTAGTGGAAATGAAATATGTATTGCACTGTATATATATACTCTTACTATTTCACAACCTTAGGCAGATATGATGCAGATGCGGTTTACAAACTTGGCCCGAATCAGTTACCAGTCTCACTAAGCAGTACTGGGGGATATTCCACACTAACGGTAGTGGAAAAATACACAAGATTAGCCAATATTTTGAAATACATCATCACTTTTGTTCAGGTACATCTTAGGTGTGGCACTGGTTGTACATGTAGATGAGAGATTGGTGATTTGCTGGTAAATTATTTTTTTACAATACAAAGACCATCATTAGGATGAAAATGTTATCTATTTCATATTTGAATCGTGTAACAGGCTTCAATCACAGGGTCACGTTACAAATGTCTGAAATACACATATGCAATATTACTGATACGGGGCACAAATGTTTATGTGTGTTGTGACCCGTATCAGTATAGCATATGTGTATTTCAGACATTTGTAACGTGACCCTGTGCTTCAATTATGCAACATTACCTGATGACAAAAAAGGACTACTGATCATATGAAACACTCTGCTATCAGGGCAAATATATTTTCAATTTATGTTCCCTTTGTTAGATGAATATATTACTAGTCCAAGCAAGAGAAAACTGACCTGATCCAAAAACTCATTGGTCAATTAATTAGGTTTAACTTTTGACGTGTCTTTTACCATAGGTTCCATTTGCCTCCAGAAATTTGATGGGAAATTTGATATATTTTATGTATTAAGCCCCCACCTCTTTATTTTGTGGCTGATACCTGTGGTTACTTAAGATTTTTTCTCACAGAAGTTTATTTCACACTGAAACCTGATATACATTACCTACCTGAAATAGGCTAACGTGTGCAGTATCCTATCGGAAGACCGAGACAAAATATCCTATCCACATCACAAAGATACAAAAATCTTCCATTAACGCAGATTCAGCATTGTTTCGATTCATCAGAGGTCCTCGACACAGGCCTGCCATTGTAACAATGCCATGGATTTGTCTGGAGTAGAAATATACACCAACTTGCCATCTAATAGTAGTTTCCTGCTGTTATCTGTCCATCACACATTCCCACGTGTAGGCCTGTTAACATCCTAGATGTAACACCGGTCAGTGCTGGCCATTAAAGTCAGTACTCATGCCGCCTGATGCTGGGAATCTCCCCGACGGAGGAATATACATGGGTGAGGCTAGAGGGTGTGTCTCTACTGTCACCGGTGGGGCTGATACACTGGAGGTAGACAGCACTATAGTGCCTCCCTAGATCAATATCCTTCACAGAGCGAGTCGACACTGATACGGAGGCTGGGCTTGCTTAGTCACCTAAACGTCTCCAGACTGTAGCAAACCCTCACACAGCAATTAACACAGGCCCAGCTGTGATCAAGCAAAGGTGAAGCACAGGGATCCCCACCATAACCTCCACAGGTGTCACAGGTTTTATTTCCTTCAGTTACCAAACTTGTGAGTCAGCAATTTTTCGAGCTGGTCAGCATCCTCCTTTTTAACACTGGTAATTTTAATCTTCTTAACACAGCTAGGTCAAAGATCTTACAGTGCTGATCATGAATAACCTATCAACAACTATTTCATGACATATGTGTAGTAGGACGAGGAATAGTGATAAAGAAAGTGCCGTCGCTCCAACCCCGACCCTTGGCTCTCCAGCCCAATGCTCTACCATTGAGCTAAAGGAAACTTCTCTACAGTTGACTCTTGTAACGCAAGCCAGTCAATGCACATCTTTTACATATGTATGTATAATTAGTCAAAACCAATCAAGTACATATATATATACATAGATTTGTGTAAATGTACACATCTTCCTGTAAAACTACCTGCAGAGGAACAAATCGTATAAGATTAGTGTTTACTCACTCGCTCCGTTATGTAGAGCTCTCATAAGCATGTAGAATATCTGTACGATTTGTCAGCTTGAGAGACTAGGACAGGGACTCAAACCTGTGTCCGTATTCATCTCCGCAATAACATCATTCCTCGCATGACTGGAAAGATATACAGTATAAATATGTAGTACGTTAATGACTGCATGCACTATTCATGACTTTACAATATCATATTTTGTAGGTACGACAAAGCAGTGATAAGCTTGTTGGGTCGGTAATATTCACGTTTTACAACGTTTTTATTGTAAACACAGTACGAGTGGTGATGGAGATGTAAAGTACTAAAGATCTCCAATAATTACACGTGAATAACAAACTACTACAAGGCTAAATCAATACAATCATCCTGTTCTGCTGTCTCAGAGTTATTGATGGGCAAATTAGCTAATATCGTAAACAATCTCTACCGTGTTTACTAGTTTTTAATCAGTTATTTTATTTGTAAAGTGTAATTATATATTTCAAACAATTAAATAGGATCATAATCACAACATACTCAAGCATCACAGATTAAGTGGTTTTTAAATTTATTTGGCCGACAAACTATTTTAGAGTGGTATTGAGATCTCCACAAAATTATTCTTGCAAAGAAATTTTCCATATGTTGAAAAGACAGGATTTTGGATTACACTGAATCAATTTACTAAGTGATGTGCAAAATTTATTTAAATTAAAGTCTAATTAGGGTTGTCAGTGGTGCAGTGGAGAGCGCAATTGCCTTTCACCAAGGCGCCCGGGGTTAGATTCCCCATTCAGATGTAACAAGAGTACTGCAGGGCAAAAACAATATACGCCCGTTGAATGTCATATAGTGCTATATACTTTCTTACACTGAAATAAGATCTGCGTCATTCTAAGAGTGGTTAGCTGACATGCTATAAACAAGAGGCCCAGAGGGCCTGTATCGCTCACCTGAATATGTTTAAGATTAATTGGTATGAAGTAAAGATATAGCACTCCATGGTAGGTGCTGTAAGTACATATGAAATTTCAGAAAGATCCATCCAGTACTTGAGATATTGCGAGAACAAACTTCAAACAGAACCCCACCCCTTCTGCCCCCTAGGAGACCACACCCACTGCTTATACAAAATTGGGTCCCCTTGGCCCAAGGATGCTCCAGACTAAATTAGGATAAAATCCCTTAATCCCTATGGTAGAAGAAGGATTTTATAGGTTTTACCTCAATGTCCCCTATTGGGACTGCCTCCCTGCCTCCAGGGGGGGGTTAGACACACCGATTATACTAAATTGGTGCCCCTTCACCTAAGAATGCTTCAGACCAAATATGGAACAAATCCTTTCATTCCTACAGAAGTAGAAGGATTTTTAAGAATTTGCTATTTTTCCCTTATTGGACCCCGCCCCTCAGCCCCTAGGGGGGGCCACACCCACCATTTATACAAAATTGAGTCTCCTTGGCCCAAGGATGCTCCAGACTAAATTAGGATAAATCCCTTAATCCCTACGGTAGGAGAAGGATTTTCAAGGTTTTACCTCTATTTCCCCTATTGGGCCCCGCCCCTCTACCCCCAGGGGGCTACACCCACTGTTTATACAAAATTGAATCATCTTGGCCTAAGGATACTCCAGACCAAATTTAGTCAAAATCTACTTGACCATTCAGGACAAGTAGCGTTTTAAAGGAAAAGTTAACGGACGGACGCTGCGGTGTGGCATAATTATAAGCTCACTATGGTCCTTTGACCAGGTGAGCTAAAAATGTAGGAGAAAATTTCTGGACAAAAAATCAAATACTGAAATGAACAAAGGGCAATAACTTTTGCAAAAATCGTTGAATCAAAATTCTTTTAAGGGAGACACAACTTCATATCATGATTATAATGTATATCAAGTTTCAAAGAGATCCGTTGAAAAATGTAGGAGAGGATTGGCGGACAAAAATCAAATACTGAAATAAACAAAGGGCAATAACTTTTGCAAAAATTGTCAAATCAAAATTCTTTTAAGGGAGACACAACCTCATATCATAATTATGCTGTTTACCAAGTTTCAAAAAGATTAATAGAAATATGTAGGAAGAGATTTTCGGACAGACAAAAGTTTACGCCGGCCGGCCAGATGGACAATGCCATACCATAATATTCCTGTCAAATTTGACGGGCGTATAAAAAGGTATGGGGTCACCTGCCCGAGCACATGAGTTTTCTCCAGGTACTCCGTTTTCCTCCCACAGTATGAACCCCCTCGCGATAACATCTGGGCCAATAAGAGTGATAAGTATAAGTTGTAAAAACTTGTTTCATAATTGTTGTAAAATCAATCAAGTTTATATTTTATTAACGTCTAGTTAACACTGGTTTCTGAATAACACATCTCACACATGCATGTTTCCGTATTTTACAGGGTTACACAGACAAGTGTACACAGGAACCTCAATGAAGGTTTGGTTTATACAGTGTCCTACTTAGATTTGTTTTACCTAAATATTTTCATCCTCAGGGGCGTTTCTAGGATATTTGAAAGAGGGGGCGTAGAATCAAATCTATTGCCGAGCGGAGTGAGGTGAAATTTTTTTTTGGACCTTTTCTTTGCTAAAAAACATAAAATAATTGTGAAATGCACTAATGTAACGGTTCCTGACTTGGAGCATGTATATTTTATAGTTAAAGTGTCAGGGTGTTTATGTGTTTAATTAATGAATATGATAAATTGCCATATTCAATACAATATTAGCAGATTACGATAGTTTTTT